TGATATATGTTGGGTCAGTTTCATCCTTGGAATGTGTAAGGTCGTGTTTTTATTACTGCAGTTAAAAGAAAATTGAATACCACTCCTAATTCATTTCTGTGAGATTGAAATGAACTAGTCCCTGGATTCCACTAAAATGAACCAAACAGCAGAAACTGAAAATTTTGCAGAATTTGTTCCTTGATTCTGTACCCAGTTCTAATCGTTGCTTAAAGATTATCATAAGCATTTAAATAAAGGATGGAACTCCTCAAATGATGATGAAATCCAAACTATAGTTGGGGATATTGAGACTAATATTATACAGTCTTACCAATGTAAACCAGCTTTCATTTGTCCATGGCATAATCTCAAACTTTGGGGGGGGGGAGTTGAGGATTTTTGGTGGTATTTAGCATCCAGGTTTTATTAGTAATCCCGTGATAGCTCCATTTTAGATTACAAGCTGACACTTATTGAATGCTAGGGAAAACCCAAATGTAATTATAATGAGAACTGATGTACTGTGTCTGGAATTTGGATGACTTAATGGTTCAACTAGAGACATTCTGAATGTGGGATAGCAGAAATGATTAAAAATTGTGAAGTTTTGTAAACCTCTTGATAGGTGCTCTTCTTGTTTTAGATCCTAATTGGAGATAGGTTAGAGGCTTGGAGCCATGCTATATTATGCTTTACTGAATTGTTTCTTGTTCTTGAATTGTTATTATTATCCATGTGTTTTTTCTCGTTTTTGTGCATAAAAGGTTTTATAATCCATCATCTACTGTGAAATGAACAGGGAAATGTAATGAAGGATGCCGAAGCAAAAGGTTTCAACCCAGGATTGATAGTACTGCTTGTGGTCGTGGGGCTACTACTGGTCTTCCTTGTTGGGAATTATGCTCTCTACATGTATGCTCAAAAGGCCCTTCCACCAAGGAAGAAGAAGCCTGTTTCAAAGAAGAAGATGAAGAGAGAGAGGCTGAAGCAGGGTGTCTCCGCGCCAGGGGAGTAGTTAAAGTGTAGGGTTTCTTTCTTTTCTTTCTTTCTCTATGTTGATTTGCTTCATTGAAAATTTCCATTTGAGCATGCCAGTGATCAATTTCGAGACTGGGTCTTGTTATTCAGTATTGGTCATGTTTTAGGCTCATAATCTGAAGAGTAGCAGTGTAGGTTAACTGGGGAACAAGATGAAACTATTTTTAGATTTTAATCGTTCATTACCTTGATCATCTTTTGAACTATTCTTCTCTTCCAATATGTGAAATTAGGCTTGTGAAATTTTCCATGAACTAGAAATCTAGAATTGACGATCAAGCTAAGTGGTTGGTTTTGAACCCAGAGGGAGGGAACAAAAAAAGAAAAAGAAACGTACTTGACCTTGTTAAATCATGTCGGAATGTGTTATTATTCAACGCAGAAGATACTGCTCTAGAACGGTCAGTAGATTTTTGCGGAATACCTCACCTTTTTGTTTTTTTTTTTCGGAGGGCAAATAAATTCCAATCTCTTTTTTTGGGGGGTTGGGAATAGTGTTAAGTTGGTAGATTTTTTGCTCAACAAATCATCTTTAATTTGTTGCTCAACGATTAAAAGCAAGACAGTGAAATCGCAGAACTGGACTAAGAGATTCAAATGCAAACAGCTTTACAGATCTTATTTTTATTTCCAGTCGTTCCTTCGGGTGAGGATCTTTACTTCCTGATGGCCTCTGGCAACTTCTTTCTTTTTGTGTACCGCCACGGAGTGATTGTTGTTAATCTAAATAACCTTAAATTTTCCGAATTTTAAATCAGTTCTCAGCTTTCTCTCTCTCTCCTTTGTCTCTATTTTCACTCCATCGCCGCCGCTGGAGAAGATGAAATTGTCGCTAAGAAGTGATTGTTGTTGTCTCTGTACCCTTGAAGCACTGCCGCCCAAACCCAAAGAAGCCACCACCTTCCAAAATCATCACCACGCAAGAAATTAGACAAAATTGAAGAGTACCCATTAGAACCCAAATGATAAAACCCTCTAGGGATTGTTTCGTATTGCAGGTCCTATCGGAACTCAACCCATCAATCCATGGGAATCCTTGTCATGAAGAAATTAAATATGGACTACTTCAGAAAAAAAAAACAAAATAGAAGTAATGCAATAGAAAACGGAAAAGGGGAAGAACAAACAAAGATGAAATGATGTGACTTTATCAAGAGAGACACCAGGAGAACAGGAATTAAGGGGTGGTTGAGACTCAGAGAGAAGGGGAAGGAGACGAGAGACGTTCTGATGAAATCTGACAGTGGAATTGAGCCACAGAGAAAGGATTGGTGTGAAGAGAAGATTCTTCGATTGTGCCATGTGCCTTTTCTAAATGAATCCATGGAGAGACGGTGAATGGTGACTGGAGCTGAAGTGAAGGAGATGCCTTGTAAACATAAATCTTCTAAACCAGAGATCCTCTCATGGGTCGATGCCTTTTAAAAGGGATTTCTTACAAACTCACATGAATATTGAATGTCCGACCAGAAGTTGCAGCCTCGGAATGTATGTTTGCGAGTTTGGCAGCATTTTTCCGAAAGACAGTATTACTGCTATCGTCGTTGTTGAAGCTATTGAGTACCTTTAATGGGTCCTGAGGACTCGGTTTCTTCTTCATGTCATTGTTTACTCTATTTTGTCCATTCATCTTATAAGAAAATTAGATGATAGGTGAAGGACATTTTTGTTTTTTTTTTTTTTTTATATATAATACTTAACGTATTTTGGACCAACTTGACACTTTTTTAAATATTGGGTACTAACTTGACAATAACAGGCATTTATCTGCTACACACAAGATGTGTGTAACAAGCAAAGTAGAATTTCCCATTTTTTTTGTTCTCAGGGTAATAACAAACTTCCCCTAAAGTTTCTAACAATCATAAAAATCTCTCCTATAGTTTCATTTTAACAAATACCTCCTTTAAACTTTTGAAAAACTTAACAAAAACCTCCCTTCCGTCATTGTCTCAGATGGAAAACGTTAGATTGATGCACCATTTTTTTCCAAATACCCATTCTACCTTTTTATAAATTATTTTATATACAAAATTACTGAAATAACCCCATTTTAACTCAAGAAAAACCTCTTTTAATGATCATTTCAGTAAATTACTAAAATTACTGAAATATGTTTTTTGTTGAGTTAAAATGGAATTATTTCAGTAATTTTGTATATAAAATAATTTATAAAAAAGTAAAATGTATATTTGAAAAAAACTGGTGCATCAATCTAACGTTTTTCGTCTAAAACAATGACGGAAGGGAGGTTTTTGTTGAATTTCTTAAAAATTCAGGAGAGGCATTTGTTAAAATAAAACTATAGTGGAGGCTTTTATGATTGTCAAAAACTTCAAAGGAGGTTTTTGTATTTTGATGGGAGATGCTCCCAATGCACAGCTGCAAGTGGCTGTAGCACACTGCACGGGGATACTGTGCAATAGGAATCCCTCCATCAATAAAAAAGTAGAAATACAGACATGTTCTCGATGGACGGCTTTAACACGGTGTGAAGATGATTTTGTGAGGACCGAATCCATAGTCAATAAAACCAATCAGAATTTAAACACAGAGATGTTCTCAGCAGTCAATACAGGATACCTCTATTTACACAAATTTGTTCAATTAACGAGTCACGCTGCTGCACGCATTTTAATATGTACCCTCGGTAAACTCAAGGGCCATTTTAGTCAATGATCCAGAGGATGGCCAAAATGATGCAGCATTTTACTTAAGTCAACTCCCAACTGTACCATAGTTAAGGAGTTCAAATATGCGCCCCGCACGCCCGTAGTGCGCCACCTGTCCCTTCACATGGCTTCCGCTTGTAGCGTGTGCACACTAATCCAGACATACATCTATGTACACACTAATCCAGATGAGATGAGTGCCATCACATTCAGCAGTACCCCCCACCCAATACGAACCAGTGAGTCTCCAGTGTCTACCAAATGCAAGAAGACGCTTCTTCTTCTTCTTCTTCTTCTCCATGTTCTTCTTCTTGCATCAGAGGAGTTCTGCACAGAGGACACGTGATGTTCCAATAATCCAACCACTTCTCCAAACAAACCTTGTGGAAGAAATGACCACAGCACAGGTGATTTATCTCGGAATCCGTTTCAAACCGTGTCAAGCAGACAGAACACTCATGGTCAGAGCAATTGTCGTCAAAAATAGAGATGAAGCGAATGGCTGGAACCCCACATCGGAACTCCATGAAAGTACTTGACGGTGTTACACGAAACTCAAAGGGCTCTGGTGGTGCCGTCTCAAAGGAATCTGATGGCGACGATAATGATGATAATGTGAAGAATGGACTGAAGGACGCCTTTGAAGATTGAGATTGAGAGGGCTGTATTTACAAGGACGCAGAGAACTCCTTCAGATGGTGCAGGGAGACTTGATAGACCCATCTTGAATGAAGACTGGAATTTGGGGTTGCAGGGTTTTTTATCTATTAATTAGTTTTCAGGGGAAATTGAGCAGAGCTAATGCAGAATTTGATGTTGGACGCAAGATGAAAATGGGAATGAACGTCAACAGCCATCTGAAATTCTAAGAAAAAGTTGCTTAAAAATTATAATCTGCAATCAAACAGAGGACGAGAGATCTACGACAACTGCCGAAGGGCAGGGGCATGAAATAGCGGTCTTTTCTGATATTACTGTCAGGAACTTTAATTTCTCGATTGAAGTAGAAGGACGAGCTTCTATGTGAAGGGACATTAAACGGAAAGAAGAAGCATGTCCCGTTAGCCCCGCACGCGCTACAAGCGGAAGCCGTGTGAAGGGACAGGTGGCGCATTACGGGCGTGTGGGGCATTTGTGGGGCGAGAACGGGTGAGGCGCAGATTTGAACTCATAGTTAAGTGGTTATGAGACGATGAGAATTTGAACATTTCTCCAACAAATCTGGAAGACTGGAATGGATGGTTCACGTTTGCAGTAAGAAAATTTTTGATACGTTTTTACTAAATGCCTTTCAAAGTACATAAGAAACGGGCAAAACACAGTTAAGAATATTTGAATAAGTTGCTCGCCACCTGCATCAATGCTTTTGTAATTTCTGAAAGAATTCTGGCATGGATGGTTGGTTGTAAAGAAAAACATAATTTGTAATAGCATGTTCGAGGAAGGCTTTCTCTTAGAAAGAAAGGGGTGAAAACAAGGAACAAAGATAAATGCTCTGCCTCAAAGTGCCTTGCAGAATGGTATTACCACGGAAATATTATCAACTCTTTACTATAGTGGAAATTCTAACCTCCAAACCCAGAGTGAGGTCATAAAAAATAAAAGAAAATCTAAGCATGACCTGAAGGTTCAAAAAAAGGAAACCTGACATTTTGGAATAACCTCAGCTACTTCTGCCCATCATGTTAATTTGAACTTTCGTTAAGCTTAAAAAAAAAAAAAAACTATGAGCAAAAATGAACCTTTGAAGAGTTCATATTCTGGTTAAGGTCAGACAATCAAGCCCATTCCTTTTGGTTGTCAGGCTACTCAGGATTCCCTTCCTCACCTGATCTCTTATATTCAGGCTTTAGCTCGTAGGTTCCTTGATTTGATCCCTTGTTGTTGTAGATACAAAGGTCCTTAAGTATATCTTTCACGAATTGCTGTAAATAGATGAATTAAAAACTTTGTTAGGAGTGCAGACAAATGAAAAATAAATTCTTGGTTAATGTGTCTCATTACATCATAAGGTCATAAATTTATGAACAAATTTAGGTCGTTTTTAATATGATCAATCAAAGATCAACCAAAGTTGCAAAGTGTAGTGGTTCGTAAAAAAATCTGTGTTTGAGCCTATAAAGAAATGGGATGACCATATTTTATTCCGTATCATACTGATAGGCATTAGAAAGATACAAATAAAACATGGAATCATTTATGCCTTTATGAAGTCCAAATGGTACAAAATATGCAGCATGTTCTATTGGATAAAAAGTTTCCCATGACATGACAGACCAATCATATTCTAATCTATACTTTATAGAAATTACTCATTATTCTATGACTGTAAGATTTTATTACCATATGAATATTAGTTAGGTGTGTGTAGAAATTGTATCCAAGACTGGATTACGAAAGATTAATTAGAACAAAACGTAGTTGATCTGCAGTATTGGAAACCACAATTTTCCTTTCAAGGTTTTTTCACTAAACTTTAGCCTTATCCCAAATATTTGGAGTTGGTTACATGAATGTTCCTTAAACTACTTTAGTCTAGGGCCAAATCTTCTGTTAATGGTCTTCAAGTCTTTTCTTATTACTACAATCGATGTGTCTTTGAAGCACATGATTAAATGTGGTCTCATAGACCTATATCTCATTTTGTTGCTTTTTAGGGCAGACCTTAGGTTTTCATAGATGTGTTCATTCTAATTTTATCCTTAAAGTTTCACTTCTCATCCATTCAATATCATCTCAGCTAAAGTTATTCTATGGATCAGTTGTCGCCTTGTCGGAATAGATGTATTCATTTCTAATATTACTCTTCCTATTCATATTACTTATCCATTTAATATCCTCATCTCAGTTGCAGCTGTTCTGTTGATGAGCTGTTTTTTTTTTATATTTTTTTTTCATGGGGCTACACAACTGGGGTAGCTCCTCCAAACCCATAACCCCCCAATCCTGGTGAAGGTGGGATTTGATCCCAAATCTCCACCACAACCAGCCAGAGACTTTACCAATGAGCCAGTTGGCATCTTCTGGATGAGTTGTTTCTTAATTGTCCAACATTCTATTCTATGAGCAATTTAAATAAAAATTTCCCTTTGTGCAACACTTATCCTGACTTTATCCACTACATAGTTCTATGGACAGCATTTCCTTTGATCTCCTACTTCTGCTGGAGATTTTCTCACCTCTCCTCCAGGTTTTCTCACACTGGTCACGGTTCCAACAAAGATGTCCTGGGGTAGCTCACTATGTAACTCTTCTTGCATGAAGCAAAAAAAACCCCAAGAGAAAGAAACCACCTTGTTTTCTTTTTATAAAAAATGAAGAGGAATTTGTAGTTTCAAGGGTTTCCTCCTTTATTTTATGTAAATATGTAAAGGGGAGAAGCTCCCTGTGCAGTTTTACTGTGGTAAGGAGGAAACCCTTACCATGGAGCTGCAATCCTGTTTAGTTTTGGTGTCAGAGAAGCTCCATAATTTTTGAGAGCAAAAGGCTTGTCACAAATTCTCTAATTGATCATAGTAAGGGTTGCTCATCAGGTTTCAACTAGAGATGAGTCCAAAGGTGTTTTTAACTTTTTATGGACCACCCTTAGGAAATGGCAAGTGGTGGCTGGTTTTACCCCCCAAAGAAGACAGCTGTTCAAGTTTAGTTGGTTCCATAGGAAGGAATGGTGAACTGAATTTGATAATGCTCTCCTGGAAATACAAGACCTTCATGAGTGGGGTAGGCAAGAGCTGAACTACTTTCACTGTTTCGGGGGCTTAAGTTGGCTTTTTGTTAAAGGTTGCCAAGTTGTAATAGGATAGTTATCATCTAATAGTACAGGCCCTTGGGCTCTTAGGCATCACATAATATAATCCAAGATGTTGGTTATGGGCTAACGGCTCATACAGGTAGCTTCCTAGATCTGCCAACAACATTGCATTCTGCTAGTTAGAGATGAGATGGGGAGATATGGGAGCCCTGATCCATAGTTGTCAAGGCGATGCCTAGGCGACAAGGCGCCCTTAGAGGCTTGCCTCGCCCAGTTGCCTAGCAGTTTTGTATACTGTCTTATAAAATACTTTTATATTGTTAAAATAGACATTATTAAACAAAAATATTCATTTTTGTGTTTATAAGCTAATTTCTTTTTATTATTTTCTTATTTGTTAGGGTTTAATCAACACAAACATTGCTAACTTCTGTATTGAACCCTCAAAGACTTCAGAATTTGAACCAATAAGTAAGGGAAAAACTTAAAGTTTTGTCTAATCAACACATTTCTTCCTCCACATCTTCTTCTTCTTCTTCCACCTTTTCTTTTCTTCTTTTCCTATAACAAAAATAGGGGTTCAGTCCCCATATTTATTGAATTTTCTTTTCTTTCTTATTTTTCTTCTCATAAATATGTTGATTTTCTAGACATAAACATGAAGTTTATAATTTTCTTATGAAAATTATGGATAGTTATTAAGGAAAGATGGTTATGGAACCTAGGGAGCTACCTAGGATATGTATTTTTCACTAAAAAATACATATCCTTGGCGCCTTGAAAACTATGCCCTGATCCCAGGGTACAACAATAGAATGCGTTTTCCCTGTATTTTCTCCCCCTCATTTGAGCAGTTCAAGCAGAGGGGAAATCCATTTTATGCTCTACTAATAGAACTATCTTTCATCATTTGTTTTAAAGATGTAAAGCATATTGAAGTGGGTATGAATCAAGAAAATCACTCATAAAAATATCATCAAGAGAATTATATCAAAGATTTAAAGGTGGGGAGCTTGGTTTCTTATATACATTGCAGGAACAAGAAATAAACCGGGCTCTAAAGGGACAAAACTGATTTAAAAACTGGGCCCGCAATGCATGCATTGAATTGTACAAGTAGAATTTGAGAACATACTTCAGGTTGGTCAGTCTCTTGGATCAATTGCCTCAGTGTCCAATTTGGTTGTCTTTCAAAGAGCTTAAACATAATCTCTTCCATTTCTCCACGGTCTCTTCTTGATCTTTTCAAGTCTGATCCTTTAACTGGTACTGTTTTCTTCTTGTCCTATACTCAAAACAGTAGAAGCCTCCTCATAAATATGGTGATAGCAATAACAATTAGAAAATATACTCTTGTGCATGTAACCAGGAATATAGAGTTAGCACTAATGAGCATGTTCAATGTGGCAATACTAAGTAATTATACAGTTTATACACAAAAAAGGGCCACATAAGTACCTTGGATCCAGATGTTAGTAATCCAACCATCCCAGGCATAGGCCTCATATGCACTCCACGATCATTATCAATCACCTTAAAATGAGGTAGAATTAAATGGGAGAAAAGTCAAATATTGAATTTCTAAACTAATAAAAAATGTAAAGAAAATAATAGAGGAAGGTAAGGCAAACTGTACCTGAATTTGTCTAGTTTTAACCATATATTTGTTTGTCCTTTCACGGCAAAGTTTCCCATAATCCCCAATATTTTCATTATGGGGCTTCATGTCAAATTTATGTAGCACTTTACCTTCCATGGCAACCCTTCCTGCAAAGGACAGGGGTTTTCTAAAACTAACCTTTATTAACTGAAAGTTCTACAATAAAAGATTACTATATCTTTATAAATCAAACTAAAATCTCAGGAAGAATTCATCTGATGCAGAAGGTGCGTTGCACATTAACATGACTATGTGCATCTCATATTTATATCCAGATCAAATTGTAGGAGGTTTGTACATTTTTCTGATGAATAACAGGAAAATTTAGTGAAGAAAATAAGGCTCAGAATGCAAGTATAACCTCCCTGTTTCATTCTATAAAAAAGAAAGTAGGAGAAATACGCAACAATGATTATGAATAATAAAGGATTTCACAACCACTTCACCCTAGAGCACCTAACATGACTTGGCCAGATTATCCATAATCCATGAGAACGGGATTATCATGTTAGATCAGAAGGGATGGTCCTCCCTTTCTGAAAAGAAAACCTCTGAGTACCAAAATCTTAATTTTCCTGTCCAGTTGTGATGCTTTGAACCCCGAGTTACTACCTATGCTACTCCATGGAGGAATAGAAGCTTAAGCCCTTGTAATACACTAATACCTAATATTTGAACTTGTATGTTAATTGCTTAAGCTGTAGCTAAAAATCAAAGAGAACCCACCTAAAGTTAATTTCTCTACTTGTTACCTCAATTTGAGATGTCAAAACTTGCATTTTTGGCTTAACTTGGTATCATGAGAACGCTTATTCAATTATCTATTCAATAATAAATAAGCCAAATATCATACAATCTGGATAAGAATTGAGCAAGTTATGGCCAATACACAGATAGCTGACAAATCTCTGGTTGAATTTTCTAATTTTTTAAGTTTTATTTGTCAAATATATCTTTGCAAGTTGTTTCCTTCTTAAAAATTTGTGTCAAATTTGTAATGGGTCAAAAAATTCATTTTTTAAAAGGTTGTTTTAAAAGATCTAGTCAGTTTTGAAGTAAACAGATTGGCCTGAGTCTTGTTGTAATTGGCTGTCTCATTGAATAAAATTACTTTACCTTTTTTCAAAAAAAAATTGTGTTCAAAGGGATCAAATATCAGGAAATTGTCTGATTCTCCTGTCACAGGCACAGGAGGGGGGGGGGCTAATAAACAAGTAAACGAGAGCTGTGTTGGGGTCACTGTATAAGTGGCAGCATTTTTGTTTTGGGGCTATAATGCATTTTGGGGAAGATTAGGATGATGGACTAGCCCGGGCTGATACTAGTGGGGAGGGTCTTGTTGTGTTTTCACTAGTTCTTATACCTATTTTGCACTTAATAAACCTATGATCTGTTACCAATAAAAAACTTTTCACTTAATTTCCAACACTGCAACAAACATGCACAAGAGAGTGGATTATTATCCTCACCTTGACTTGTCTCAGAGAATACACACATGGGAATAAAGTCTTTTGACATATCCAACGAGTAACACTTAGGTCCATTTCCGGGTTCATTGCCAACCAACTCCATCGTGAACTGGTCATAATTCAAGCAATGTGTAAAAATAGGAAGAAGATAAGTTGCAAGGCAAGTGGATCTCAATACACAATATTCCGTAAACTTAGATATGATTGGATTAATTTGAAAAAGTAACAGAAAAAAGGACCAGAAGAAGACAAAACATCCATTCTTCATGGTAGCATGCAGCAATCCATTAAAGCTTGTTCTTGTTAATGCAGCTTCAGTCAAGGTTCAAAATATTGATACACCCGATACGCTGGTAGAGGCGTATTGGTAGTTTTTGTTTTTTTCAAATCCGGTTCAGAGGGGCCGGTTTAAGGTCCGTCCACCCCCTGAACCGGTCAAAACCCCGATACACCCTCCGTAGGGGCATATCGGGAAGCTCCCGATACAATACACATCGGCCGATACGGGCCAATACATATCAATATTTTGAACCTTGGCTTCAGTGGTCAAGGACCCATTTGAATAGGAAATCAATTTCACCAGCAGTTATTTTTCGAATTTTTCCCTGAGGCTTTCAGCAGGTTAGAAGCTAACCTATATAATCTCCAAATAACAGAAGCTGTAACATGCCTATAATATTAGCACTTCAATCAAGAAGAGCTCAACATTTATGCAAGTCTAATAGTGTTTACATACGTCTTAAAGAGAGAAGAAATTTGGCTGGGGGTTATTTAACAATTTGTATAACCATCCAGAAGTATATAGCAAGTGTGGAAGTGGATAGCATGCTGGGGGGTTGCTTAACAAAGATATTTAGGCATTTAGTTAGATCATAGCTCTGAAGCAGTATAGCTCTGAAAAGATATTTGCCTTAGCTGATTAAAGAAGAAAGTAAACTCATACTCATCAGGTCCCATGAATTTATCCACTGAATACCTTCAAATCTACCTATCGTCCATATATGAGTACACTGTATCCAGTTTTGTGCAGCATTATGTTAATATTAAATGTAAGGATGTTCCTTTTGGTCTTGTTGAAAGAAATAAGGAAGCGAATTGGCATATCTTCATGAGATAGGTTGGACCCAAATGGGTGACTTTGGCAGTTTTTGGCATGCTTCATCAATGGAAGACATGTGATCACAGGTCTAAGGGCAGGTTGCACTGGAGAGCTATCATTCATATTACCATGTGGGAAGAATGGTAAGGAAGGAATAACTGATGTGGACGCGTATTGGGAACAGCAGCAGCAATGATCCAGTGTTCTCATCCTATCCAATTCGGCAGCAACAGTCTTATCCATTCAGCAGATTATATTAGACTATCTTGTTATTCCTATCTTATTAAGATAGTAGATTAGATTATCTTATCTTATTAGATTAGGATTAAGAGAGACTTATCTTATTAGATTAGGATTAAGAGAGATTATCTTATCTTATTAGATTAGGATTAAGAGAGATTATCTTATCTTATTAGATTAGGATTAAGAGAGACTTATCTTATCTTATTAGTCTTATCTTATCAAGATAGAGTTGGAGGTCTCCCTATTCAGCAAGGAGTCTCCCTAAGAGCAGGACTCTTGTAATCTCCTATTTAAGGAGCCGCTATTATTGAATAAGGGATCCAAAATTTCAGCCAAAGAGAAGAGTAAAGGAGAGCTAGGGTGATCTCTTGGACAAATCACCCCTTAGGTCGCCACGATAGGGTCAACACGCAAAGGGAAGGACAAGGGGAAACTAGAGGTTCTCCCCATGGACCGACCCGTGACAAGATCCTACGCCCGGGCCCATAACAATAACTGTATTTCTGAAGGCAAGATGATGCCTTACCAACTTGGGATCTGGTAGTGGGCTTTGTGGGGTTGAATGAAGGCTGTGGGTGATTAGAGATGAAGAATATGAATAGACAAGCAAGAAGAATGCTTGCTGTTAGGGTAAAAAGTGATGAAATAGGTCATTTAGAAGAAGAAGGTAAGAGAGAGTGGGAAAAAAAAAAGAAATTTTCTGGCAACAACTAGAATTCACTAAACCAAACTTTTCACCAAATTACTCTTCTTTAACTCCAATTACAATGACTCTATTTATAGAATCAAAATACTAATTCGGATGTTCCCTTTCAGACTCTGATTTTGACTAGGAAGTTGACCCAAAACAACTCCTAGTTGCTTTAGAACTTAAGACAAATCCATTAGGACACTTAAATAAGGACTCCAACTCCTGAACAACTCTAATAACACTTTCCTAATCCCGCTAAGACTAACTTAATTTAAAGACATCAGGAATTACTAAAAATAGTAATTACTAGAACTACTATAAATAATAAATCCATGAATTACCTTAAATAGTAATTTCAAAACAGCAATAAAAATATAAAAATGTAATCCTATTCTTAAGATACCACAATGATGTGGACAGAAAGACAAATGACATGCAGCACCTCAAGTATACAGCAATAAGCACAAGAAGTACCAAGCTGAAAACAGCAAAATAAGTTGAATTTTTAGGAAATTCAGACCTGAACCTTTAGTAAAACTCCTCTTGGAACAGTTCCGCTACAGTAACAATGGCAGCAATCTGGCCACCCGCGCGGACACGCAGCAATGGAGGGATTGGAAGGTGCCAAAATGGGTCGACTCCTCAAAACCCAAACTCCCAATACTTGAAAACCCTAGCTGGGGCTGAGCTACAATTCAAACAAGAGAGAAAGAACCAAAAGACCCTTACAGAAACAACCCCCTTCTCTTTTATAAGACTCACTGGCTTGCTGGACAAGTTAGTTAAAATATTTAACATAAGCCCCTAGAATGTTTCCCTCTCACCAACAACTCCTTAGGAACTAAACTAACTTCAAATGAACACCTAAAAGATTACTTTTGTTACAAAAAGACCCAAGAGACCAAAACTCAACAGAAATGCACCCAACTGCCCCTGACCAAAAATCTGGCTTATAAAATGACGAAAATACCCCTGGTCCCAAACTGTCAACAAAGCTACCCAAAGACAACTATTTGGGATCCCACTACAAAAACATGCAAAACAGAATACATTCACACATTTTTTTGTATTCACATTTTTTTTTTCATTTTTTCTCTTTTTTTTGCCTCATCATTCCCGTCAGGTTAAAAAGAGCTTGACCCCGTGCGAGCAACAATTTTAGCAGCCTTGCACATGTTTCCATCTAGCTTCATAAACTCCTCTTCACTAACCCAATAGTTCTCAATTGATGGTTTCCCTTTCCACTTGACCAAGAACCTAAAATAGGCCCCATTTCGAGTGTTGGTAACTCGAACATCTTCGACACCCTCTACTTGTTCACACTCATTAGAACTACTGGCCCTTTGTGCTAGTCCTTGCCCTTCTTTTGTTGCTGGTTCTAGATCCCCATGGTAATCAAAGAGGTTTGCTACATTAAAAATGGGTGAAATGGACAAATCAGCTGGTAGCTCAATTTCATATGCATTGTCACCAAACCGTCTCAGCACTTGACACGAACCAATTTTTTTTTTGCTTCAACTTATGGTAGGTCCCAACGGGAAACTTCTCAGGCCGCAAATAAACCATGACTAGATCACCTTCATGAAACTCTTTCATCCGACGATGCTTATCCTTAGCTTCTTTATACCTTTGGTTGCTTTCTTTCAGCTTCTGTCGTACATTCTCTTGAATCTCTTGAATGGATTCAGCTAAAGCTTCGGCATCATCACTCACTCGCTCCAACCTTGTTATAGGAGTTAGATTAACAACACTTTTAGGTGACTGACCGTACACAACCTCAAAAGGAGTCTTCCCTGTAGATCTATTAATTGAATCATTGAAGGCAAATTCAGCTTGTGGTAGGATAAGATCCCATTGCTTTAAGTAGTTTCCAACTAGGCTCCTCAACAAGTTGCCTAAGCTTCGGTTAACCACTTTAGTTTGTCCATCTGTTTGTGGGTGAAATCAGATTGTGACACAAGCTTCGGTTAACCACTTCAATTTCTCCAAAAGTGGCTAAGGAATCTTGTGTCACGATCTAATGTGATAGATCTTGGCAATCCATGCAACCGAACAACTTCTTTGAAAAACAAGTTAGCTACATGAGAAGCATCAGAAGTCTTTTGGCAACCAATAAAGTGGGTCATTTTAGAGAAACGATCAACCACAACAAAAATAGAGTCATTACCCCTAGCTATTCTTGGCAACCCCAACACAAAATCCATAGTAATATCAGTCCATGGTGCTTCTGGTATGGGTAAGGGGAGATACAAACCTGCATTTTGATGTTGCCCCTTAGATGTTTGGCACTTGTGACATCTATCAGCATAATAGAACACATCCTTTTGTAAGCCTTGGCCAAAAGTACTTTTTGGAGACAATTTCAAGTGTCTTCTTGCAACCAAAATGTCCCTTGCAATGCAAATCAGCAAATGAGTAATGCCCTCAAGGATCTTGATGGAATACATAACCTATTGCCCATGAATAAGTAACCATCATTCCACACAAATTTGGCTCGAATATCCTTGTCACCTGTTGTATAGGGCCAAAATAAGGCCAAAATAAGGGTCATCTTGGTATTGGTCTTTGATGGAGCTGAGTCCCACAACATTTAGTAGACATTGTTGACACCAAGTGAACTCTCCAACTAAGAGCATCAGCTACCCGGTTTTGTTGTCCAGCCTTATGCTTCAAAACAAAATTATATTCTTGTAGAAAGTCAACCCATTTAGCATGTCTTCCCTTTATCTTCTGTTGGGAGTTAAGGTGCTTCAATGCTTCATGGTTTGAATACAACACAAACTCCCGTTGGATAAGATAATGCCTCCAGAACTTCAGCGCTTGCACAATGGCATAAAATTCAACATCATAAATGGAATACCTCCTTCTAACATCATTGAGTTTCTCACTAAAGTAAGCAATTGGACGGCCTTCTTGGCTAAGGACAGCTCCAATCCCAACATGGGATGCATCACATTCAACTTCAAAGAGCTTGTTAAAATCAGTTAAAGCCAATACCAGAGCCTTCGTCATCCTCATCTTTAGCTCTTGGAAGCTTTTCTCAGTTGTGGGAGTCCAAGTAAACTCACCTCCTTTC